AGACCAGGCCTGAGCAAGAGGAGCCCTGTCTCACTATAAATAGGAACAACAATTAATGGGGACAACTAAATATATATAGAAAAATACCGGGGCACGGGGCGGCAGGCCTGTAGTCCCAGCTACTCGGGGAGGGCTGAGGAGGAGGTCGTTGGAGGCCAGCAGTTGGAGGTGCCGTGAGCGAAGGGCTGATGCCACGGCCAACCACTCTAGCCCGGCAACAAGCGAGACTCTGTCTCAAGAGAAAAAAAAAATGCCCCTGACGTCCCCACAATAACATTCATCCACATAAAAAAACACAAATCCGGGCTGGCGTGGTGCTCACGCCTGCATCCTAGCTCTCTGGGAGGCCGTGAGGGCGGGCGGATTGGCTCCAAGGTCAGGAGTTCGGAAAACAGCCTGAGCAAAGAGCGAGGACCGGTCTCACATAAATAGAAAGAAATTAATTGCCCAACTATTATATATATAAAAATCCACTCCGGGGCGTGGTGGCGCATGCCTGTAGGTCCAGGCTACCGGGAGGCTGAGCAGAGATCGCTGAGCCCAGGAAGTCGGAGGTTGCTGTGGAGCGAGGGCTGACGCCACGGCACTCACCTCCTAGCCTGGACGGAACAGGAGTGAGACTCGTCTCAAAAAAACAAAACAATCCGGTTGTGCCCACCTAATCTCTTGTGATTATAAATGAGAAAAAAAGAGAACAGAAAACCAGTTCCTGAGATTTCTTCTGGGAAAAGACGTGGCTACTTTTAGAAAGATGAAAACTCAGACGCAGCTCGGAGCCCGCGCCGTGGCCCTTACCTTGGGTCCCTCCTGTGTGACGTTGAGCCGGTGCAGAACGTGCTGGGAAAACGCCCGGAACAGCCCGGTGTTCTGGCAGCCGGAGATCTGCGGGGAAGACGCCAGCGCACGCCGCGATGGACAGGGTTCGAGGTCCCTGCAAACGCCACCCCCAACCCTGAAGCGCGCGCGCTGACTTACCAGGGGCGTGTTGTAGAACAGCCCGTACCTCATGCGGGGCAGCAGCGAGACACGGCTCTCTGAACAACCTGGAACGGAGAGAACAGTAATTAAAAAAAAAAAGAGAATTTCATTGCCACCCCTTTGCACCAAGATAGCACCTGTAATTTTGGAAACAGATTTTTTTTTTTTTTTGAGACTGAGTCTCCTTTGTTGCCCAGGCTAGATGAGATTGCCGTGGCTCAGCCTCGCTCACAGTACACCTCAACTCCTGGGCTCAAGCGACGCCTCCTGCCTCAGCCTCCCCGAGTAGCCTGGGACTGACAGGCATGCGCCACCATGCCCGGCCTAATGTTTTCTATTATATGATAGTTGGCCCAATTAGTTCTTTCATTTATAGTAAGACGGGGTCTCGCTCCCTTCTCAGGCTGGTTTCGAACTCCTGACCCCGAGCGATCCTCCCATCTCTCTTTCGAACTCCTGACCTCCTGCTCTATTCTGTTGGGTGGGTGGGTGGATTTTTTTGCCCGGGTCGTGTGGGTTAGCTGGGGGTCTGGAAGAGGGTGGAGAGAGATGGTCGAAGAAGACGGAAAGGAAGAGAAGGAGAAAAGCACATCCTTGCAATATCCCATCGTTTATATTTTATCTGTGAAAATCACAGTGTAGGCTCAGATGCTCATTCCCCTGTCCCGGCACGTACGGAGTTATTTTGCCTTTTCATTTTGATCACAGGATGGAAAAATCCGAGTCACCATTCTTGCACGGAGTACGGAATACCGGAAAATCCTGAACCAACACGAGGTTAGTTTTTGGTATACATTTTTAATATCCATACCGTACGAGGTCTGCGCGTGGAGACGAAGCGAGTTAGGGGCATGAAGGGAGCAACGACCGTTTTCGCCCTCGAGGAGAGCAAAACACGCTGGACGTGCGTGAGTCGTGTTCACACTAGGATCCAAGTAAACTCACGGAAACCCGTATTAGCGAAAATGGGTCTTTGCCTCGGTCGGGCCTGCAAATGCCTAATCTGATGAAATCGCACCAGAGACAGGTCACAACCACCTCGCACTTCTAGTCTGCTGAGCAGGGTTCCTCGTCTTTCCTCTCTAGAGCCCTTTCATTCTCACGTCTTGAAAGTGCAGTGCGTGGGTGTTGTATTCAGGGAATTTTCGGTATTCCAAACCAGGCTCACGCAACACACCACGCACACACGCCACGCACGCGCACGCACGCCCACACGCACACGGACACGACGCAGCACACACGCGCACACCACCGCACACACGACACCCACAACACACGCACACGCACGACACAGGCAGCGCAGCGCTGCACGCTCGGATACGTTAACGCGAGCCAAAAGCATTCAGGGAAAATGGAATATGCTTTGGAAAAGAAATTTCCAAAGAGCAAGAAATGGCGCTTGAACATTTTAAACATTAAAATAATGTCGGGGGCGGGCGCGGGTGGCTCGACCTGTCATCCACGCACTCTGGAGCGAAGGCAGGAGGATCACTCAAGGTCAGGAGTTCGAGACCAGCCTGAGCAAGGCAGCCCGTCTCTACTATAAATAGAAAGAATTAATTGGCAACTAAGTATATATAAGAAAAATTAGCCGGGCATGGTGGGCATGCCTGTAGTCCCAGCTACTCGGGAGGCTGAGGCAGGAGGATCGCTTGAGCCAGGAGTCTGAGAGGTTGCTGTGGCGAGGCTGACGCCATGGCAACTCACTCTAGCCTGGGCAACAAAGCGAGACTCTGTCTCAAAAAAAAAAAAAATAAGAAAAATAAATAACATTAGAGAAGAAGACAGATTGCACTAAAAAGATAAACCGCAGGTGGTGGAGAACACGCGTGTATTACGTGCAGG